GGGTTTGATGAATAAATGATACATTTTGTCATGAGGTTGTTTTAAGTTATGAGGCTCATTTCACACACTGCTGCTCTCTGCCTGTCAAGAGCAGGAACAAAATGTTTGAATGTATACATCTGGTTCATCCAATGATGTTGCACACATGGATATTCACCAGTTTATGCTGTCAATGAATCAATATTAACTAATGATCTTATTCTCTCCTTTTCTGCAGAATATAATGTTCACTTTTAGGTTAACATTGTATCAGAGCGACTGAAACCATAGTTGATGTCGTCTTCCTATTCTTATTAAATGGCTTAGTTGAATACTCGATTCTGATTGGGCAATTCAGAACACGTGACACGTTGTTAATCCAGAACAGACAGACCGCTGTCAAGGACTTATTGACCGTTGTTAAGGACGCTCACATCTGCACAAAGAAGTCCGTTCGATTTAACTGTATACAGTTTGGCCGAAAAGCAAACTGCGTGCAAACTCTGGGACAAGGAAACAGCGGAGAAGTAACGGGGCAGAAACCCTCCTTTTTTACGCAACGGTCCAGACATAGACATCAAACGGCGACACATATTCAGTTGCCAGTTACTTTGGCATTCGGGCAGGGATATCTAGATACACTTTCAAAGCTTTGACATAATGAATTGTGCTACTTTTAAAGCAAGCAACGATGTTTTCAAATCTGTAATCAAAAAGGTCCGCAAAAACGCTATCGAAGCAGTTCCTGCCGTTGCTAAGGAGGATCAAGAAAGAGAAAGTAAAAGAGGGTAAAAGACGTCAGATAAATGCCCAGAAGAAGGCAGAGAGGAAGTAAACTCTAACAGGAACACGGTATGGGCTCTGCAGTCTCTAGGGACTTGATCAGAAACTGTGAACAGAGTTGGACAGTGCCGAGTGCTGCCACAAAGTTGTTGTTGTCGTGGAACGGGGTTTTTGTTTTCTTAGCGGAAGAAATACGATCATTTTGAAGTCAATAAAATCATTTCAATTCATATTGGGAGTCGAGTCGTTAGTTTGTTTAGTATATGGCCGTGTAATAAGCGGGATAATGTGCAGCGACTTGGTCATTCAGTCTCATCATGATGAGCCTGTCGGGTGTTCTTTTCCCCATAATGACCGCCTCGCTGCACATTATCCCTTACATAAATAATGGAGGACAAAGAAAGACAACTTATTATTACTGAGGTGATAATATTATACATGATTACAATTCATCAGTGTCTTATTCATGATAATACTACAATTAGGTTGATCGTTTTATGTAAATTCTGAAATAATAAATCGTGCACTGGTGTTATTTGGCTAAATAATACTTTTCCGAAATAAATGTGCAAATGCTGGCAACATAAAACCATTAAAACACAATTAGGGTAACAGCCAGAACCACTGCAGTCATTACTAAGGGAAGAAGGGAAGCTTAAGGCTCATATTCATATTTTCATTACCATACTCCAGTGCCCTGGAACGATTAACTAAAATAGACCGCCTTGGAAAAGATACAGAAAGCAGCAAACTCAAAAAGTGATGTCTGAATAGAACATATGAGGATGTTAAAAGCATGTAGAATATGATGGTAGAAACATCACATGGTGAAAGTGTTTTATCTCACCTGTGTAGCCAGGCTTAACACCTGCTGCACGAGCTCCTGGGTCTCCGTGGGCTTCTTCAGGAACAACTTGACAATTGCCGTCAGCAGCTGCAACTGCACCTAGAGGACAGAACGAACACAAACCACACGTTACAACTGCTCACATGCTAAGTTCAAATGCAGCGAGTGGAAGTAAAATGGTCCTTAAAACAGTTCTAAGGTGTATCTTAATGATGATGTTTTAACAATGGCCTGCACTGAACCACAGTAAACACATAAATAAATAAATAAACCTTTTGCTTTTGAGGGATTAGGTTTTCCATGAAAGCCACACCCTGCTAAACAGTAAATATTCCAACTACTAATTAAATCTGCCGTTACAAAACAGCCTAAAATGGAAGGTTTTATGCATAATTTATTTATTTTTACCCACAAAATCACTTAAAACCCGAAAAGGTTCTCCGAGGCAATATGGAAATGCATCTATTATTCAGGGGAAAGTGGTCTAACGGAGAAGAGCCTGTTCTTAGCCCACACTCTCTGTGGTGCAACACATTTCAGAGTGAGATATGGCTGCTCTAAAATGTGTCCCTGAGCCAAATATAAAAAGTGTTTCTATAACTCCCATTACCTCTTTATAAACACAGTAAATCGACATATAATAGTCATCTAGGATACTTTCATGTCCATCACAGTAGCACAGATTGTCCGTTCTCTGCAGTACTTCTGCATTTGTGTGTGACATGCCACCTTCATTTCTACTGCCCTGCAGCAGCATACCCATCACTTTAATGGTTTCCAGGAACAAAACACAATGTGTGCTTCGTGCTGCGAGCACAGGCTGAAAATTGCTGTTCCCCCAAAAACTATCCTTAACCCACCTGAGTGCTTTCATCATGGAATCCCTCCAAAAAGCTCTCCAGCAGCTCGTCGGCGTTGTCGATGCGCTCAGCGTACTCTCCCACGATCCAGATCATAGCGGCCCGGGCCTCAGGCTCGTCCAGAGACTCCAGGTGTTCACACAGGGTGGCAATCACACTCTCGTACCTGGAAACAGTCACACAAAACACAACAGCAACATGTATTAGGAACAGAGGTGGGAAAAAGTGGAGTGCAAATACTTCGTTACTGTACTTGAGTACATTTTCCTGGTATCAGTACTTTACTCCACTACTTATTTTTCTGACGACTTTTTACTTTTACACACAAATACCTGAACTTTCTACTTCTTACATTTTCAAAACAGGCTGGTTACTTTAGTTTTAATCTGAGTTTGGTGGCGTGATCATTATTATTTAGAGTCATTGCGTGCCTATTGATTTGAACACGATCCGTGTATCCATCATTTCCTGGTCTTCTCTAAAGAAGATCGACCAATTAGAATGTTGTCATGATGCCGTTGTTCAGCATGGAAACATTCATTAGCTAACAATGACATTATTGTTCTATTAATATAAAGGGAGGTCAGGTACTCTTTTAAACAGATGGTAGTTATGGGTACTTCTTAGTTAAGTACATTTTGAAGCCCAAACTTCTTTACTTTTACTTGAGTAATGAAGTTTAGTCGGCACTTCTACTTTGACCAGAGTATTTTAAACACGAGTATCTGTACTTCTACTTGAGTAAAGGTTGTGTGTACTTTTGCCATCTCTGATTAGGAATGGCAACTATTTTAAACAATCAGTTCAAACCAATAACTATAATAACATAAAACTCCATTAATGTTTGAATGAAAAGGAGGTACAGAAAAAGTTGACCGATAACCAGCCATAACACGTCACCGGCTTTTCAAACGTATTAGCACACCGACTGCTTTCACATCCAGCACACACACACCATTGAGCAACATCAGCATGACTTTAGAGTTGTTTGTTCTGGCAGCCTGACAAATGTAAATCCAATATTTATTCTCCTTTTAGCTCTGGCTGAATGTTTCGATTGCTAGACGCTCAACCAGCAAATGTTTTTCTGCAATCTTTGATTAATTCATGTGGTTGAGGCATTTTTGATCCAAACCAATTCACCCATAACGAATGCATTTACATAGTGCAAGATAGCCTGAGGCGGTAAGATTGAGTTGATATGTAATTAATAGAAAATGCAGAAGTTTGAATGAGTCATGTAGCTAAAGACTCGAGCCATGTCGAGCTGGAAACCTTTGAAAGCTGCTCCCTTGGCGACTCGCTGATGACTTTGAGTTGTGTGTGGGAGAGGACTGTGTCATGCTCCATGAATCTACCTGGTTTTATGAACTGTCCCTGAGGAATATTTTCTGGCCCAAAACCTCATCTGCATGCATTTCAGGATAAATGCAAATCTGAAACCACTTTGTCTGTGTAATGAACTTTCACTCTGAATATGTGAGGGCCAGGAGAAATGAAATTGAGGGCAAGTGAAGTGGAGTGCAGGGTGCAATAGAATGCATGAGTGAATGTGTACACCAACGAACAATGCAAAGCACAAAATAGTTCATACATCATGCATCTGAAAATGTCTCAATTTAAAACGGGCGGACTATAAAGCCTTGTCGGACTTTGATAGAGGTGTAAGGTGTTGTCATGTCATTTTGAGAATAATAACAGCCTTACAGCAGAATCAGTTTCCACCAGTTCCTGATGAATGGCTAATAAAGATTCGAATCTGCATAACGAAGTGTAAACAAATCATTCTGAAATCACCACACTGATGTCTTTCACTGAACGTACTTGTTGGGGTACTTGCGGAAGATGTCCTTGATGACCACGATGGCCTCCTGCACCACATAGTTGACCTTGGTCTGGATGAGGTCAAGCAGCGTGCTGACGCAGCGCTCCGCTGATTGCTAATAAATGGAGAGAAGAATAAATCTGTCATGATTGGGCTGCAGAAAAAAACCACTTTGGACAAACGCATATTTATTGTGTGCTTTTAATATGCATAAATGATATTGTCACAATATAGAACATATTGATAACAATTAACATATTGTTGCATATGTAACAATCTGCTGAGTAATAAACCTTCCATCAGTGTCAAGCTGTCAAACTCCTACATCTACTACAGTTATATCAGTATTAACAAACTAGGCTTACAGTGAATTTGAACATCTCCAGAAACGTGTAGTTTGAAACTAAGAAGGAGGAATCTTATAAATGATGTTTTATTGCTGTGCGACATAGCTGATAGTTAAAGAGAAATACAAACTAAACATGTGACAGCAGCGTGATATAATCTCCACTCACCTCTACTTTGATGGCACAGCGGCCAATGGCCCTGACTGCTTTACGGACAAAGTCCACATCCACCTCAGTGGCGTACTCCTTCAGCTCAGCCAGAACCTACAGCCACACAGAAACGCATGAACATGTTTTGCTTTCTGAAGGCACCCCAAAGATAATGGTTTTCACACACAGTGAAGTATGACAGCTGTGGATGTGTTACCTGGGCGATGTTAGCTTGAGATGCTAGGCGGATCATGATGTCCAGCTTCTCCAGTTTCACATAGATTGGGTCATTGTACTTCACAAAGAAAACCTTCATCTCGTGTTTCAGGATCTCTGGGCTAAAAATTAAAATAATTCCCTGTTATTTGTGGAAAATGTACCATGCTGCAATAAAACACTACTTTTATTATGTTATGATATTCCCAAAGTATAAAGAATACTAAAGAGCCTCCACATGTCATCTCCCAACATTTACCGTCTCTGTACGATGAGGTTGATGTTTCGAAGGGCCACATATTGTAACTCGGGCTCAGCAGAGAGGAGCGTGACCAGTGGGGGGGCGAGCTTCTTCAGTAGGGTGCCATAGTAGTCCAAGTCTTTGGGCAGCATCTCCATGAACTTCATTAAAACTTTAACGGCTGACAACACCACTGCAGAGTTGGCGTGGGAGAGCCGTGGGGTCACACGCTCACAGATGCTGATATCGGGAGAGAAAAGAGAGAGAGAGAAATTAAACGTGTGTGGGTATGTATGTATTATTATGTACACTTATTTGTATTTGTTTGGCCTTATGATGGCTAAAATTGGATGACCATTTTAGTTTCCATTTCATATAGCACTGTAAATTGCATGAAATGATGAGCTGTTTTGTTTTATGTATGTTTTGTGTGTGTGAGGACCCCAGGAAGAATAGCCAATGCTCATGCTAGTGCTAACGGGGATCCTAATAAAGAATAAGAATACAAAAACGGTGTGAATGGGTGTATTTTCCATGCATAGTTAATGAAGGCTTTCTCTCACCTCTGGGACTCTCGGTCATCACGAGGTGAGTAATTGGCCAGGCAGTCGAGAATGAATATCTGTCCCCACTCTGTGCACTCGTTCAAAGCCGTCAGCAACTTGTTGATGGTCTGAGGGTTCAGGTCCAGTAGATTGCTGTTGGGGTGAGACTCTGCTATCTCCGACAGCGCTGCCACTGCGTTCGCTACAACCTGAAGATGAACACAAAAGTTAAATAAATGATAGATATACTTATAGATGGATAAATGCCAGCAGAACAATTGAAGCCCCCAGTTATTATTACAATAAGCAGTATTGTATTTCACTGTACAGCATTTAATTCTATTATTAGCTCATCTTATTTTACTTTAAAGAAAAACCAAAGGCCCCTTAACCTATTCGGGTGGCCCACGCAACACCTTTGTTATTTTCCCTCAAATAAGAAAATACATGCAAGTTCATGGCTACTGTAGACAACGTTCTTGTTGCTCTGTATTGCGTTGTTAGTGAGTGAGACACACCGGAGTTGAGGATCTGTGGGGTTTATTCTCCCAAAAATATAATTTACAATTTAGGCATTTAGCAGACGCCTTATTCCAAAGTGACTTAGAATGACCAATTACAGGGACATTCTCCCTGGAGTAACTGAGGGCTAAGTGCCTTACTCAAGGGCACACTAGTAGTGGTGTTCCAGGCGGGATTTGAACTTGCAACCTTCCGATCATCAGCCAACCTCACTATCCATTAGACCACCAATGAGATCCATTTATGGCGGACGATATTTAATTGTGGCAGCCCTTTGAACCCGCATTAAGATATAAAGTAGAGGTCATTTTAATAACACAACTTGGGCAACATGTTAAATATTTGTATGCCAGCAGAGGGGCTAATCAGGGAAAGGCAGAGCTGGGGCTTGAAGCCAGCTGTGTCAAATCTGTGGAAATGTGTCTGGTTTAAACAAAGAGGTCGTACCATGGGGTTGGAGTCAGAGATGAGGTCTTTCAGGGTGTCCAGGAAGCCTTGGTCCTCCACCAGCTGGGCGTTGATATCATGGAGCTTTGCGACACACACAGCGGCGGTCTTCCTCACATACGGGTCTTCATCCTTCAGACATTTCCTCAGCGGCTCACAGAGGTACTCTGTGATCTTGTCCACACGGATGCAACCCATTGTACGAACAGCAAGGGCCCGGATCAGAGGGTTCAGGTCTTCACAGTCCTAAATGAGGGTTCAAAAAGGTCATCATTTTGTCACAATTACATTGTTACTCTGAAACAGATTTGAATGTATACAACATGTATTTGCATAAGCATTCTGGAAAGAATTAAAGGGAAACTCTCCATGCATATTGCAACGACTCAAAGCTGGTTAAAAATCAGGCACATTTGTCATCATATCTCGAGGTGTCACTGCTATTGTCGTATGACTAAAGGGAAGAAAGAAGAATCAATCTTCAAAGGATACGGTTGGCTGTGTTCAACTTAAACGGATACTCCGAGGGTTTGTAATTATCTTATTGAATTCAGAGGGATAATGGAGAGGCACTTCTCACAGCTGCGAGTAGACCATAAACAGCGTGCATGAGTAGGTTCAAATTATCAAGAGAAAATGCATCCTCCCTATCATACAATGTTGTACAAACATTTTTACACCACTGTATCAAAACAAGGGACTTAAATACTTTCATTATATTATAAAATCACTTTTGGCACAATAGGAACAATTGCATCGACCAAGCAAGCTCTTACAACTGTACTTCAAATACTGTTCTAGAAATATAAAATAAAATATGTTTTACATAAACCCCCCACTTTAAATGTTCTTTTAGTCTTTATTATTTACCTACATTTATATTGTTTTATTTATTTTATAGGTCTTAAAGGATTTAATCTTATTTTATTAAAGGTAGGGTAGGTAACTTTGAGAAACCGGCTTGAGATACACTTTTTGTTATATTCCATGGAATGCTCTTAACATCCCGATAGCAATGAATATCTTAAGTGCTTTGACAAAAAATCCATAAAAAAATGTCATCTGTGGAAGCCGTAGTACTGTAAAAAGCACGACCAATCATTTTAGCCGGCCCGGCTAAAATAACTGGATGGCCTACCTGCCTGTCAGCCTTCCATCTGTGCACAAACTTATCTCGTGCCCTCATTGGTCATGTGCGCGTTCGTGTGTGTTGGAGGAGGGGCTCTATAAGGAAGTGGCAGATTTTCTCCGGTCGTGTATTTTCAAATTCTAGCGATCTCGAGCTGGTTTCTCAAACTTACCTACCCTACCTTTAATCTAACATGCTTCAATAGCATTATCTATTTTCACGTTGGTCTTTTTTATTTCTTAATCGTTTAACCTTTATTAGAATGATGGCATTTTTATTACTATTATCTTTTTATTTGTATTTCTGTTGTACCTATATGTTCACTTTGTTTTATGGGGTTTTATATTTCATATTGTTGCATCGACTCAGTTGTCTTGTCTGTCTGAGAGAAACCATTATTTATTTTATTTGTATTATAATACATTTAACCTCCTTGTGTCTATTAACCTGATCAAATGTTATATTTTGCTGCATGCACCTGTAAAGTTCTTAACAAATAATCTGAGGGGAACGTCTTGTTTGTTTTTAACTTGTGATGTGTCATTTTGTAAAGCACTTTGAGCTGCACGTGTTGTATGAAAAGTGCTATATAAATAAAGCTTTATTATTATTATTATTATTATTATTGAGCTTTACCTTTACGAAGGTGTTAACAGCCATGATAGCCATGTCTGGCTGACTCTTGGCGTAGTTCATCAGGTACAGGTAGACCAGCTTCTTCAGCTCCAGGTTGTCCGTCTGCATGCAGTTCACAACATCCGGGAACAGAGCACTGAAGGAAGGACAAGGTGTTGTTATCCTGCATTTCTCCAGTGTGGATGTTTCATAGATATACTATCCTCTTACTCACCTGACATCCTTGCCAACTGTCATGGATGCAATGACCTTCTTCACAGCCTCTTTCTTCTTCTCCTTCTTATCACTGTTTAGCTCCGCCTTGAGCTCGAAGATCTCCCCTGCACACACACAAGAGAAAAAAGCCAATCACACACCATGTAATCCATTTGTGATGTGAGACGTGAAAAGGAGTAGTGGGCAGCATTGAGCTCTTTTTCAGCAGAGTCTGATATTGCTGGGAGTACGAGTGTTTTTTTTTTTATACAAGAGACTTTGAGGTTATAGTGAAGCATCCATCTTGGGTCCAAAGTGAACTTTCTGGTCTATCTGCCAATGGCTGGTAAACAAAACACTTTTTTTTTTAAATGGCCATAAAACTGCATAACAAACAATGTCATTAAATACTCATTGTATTACTAAAAAACTGAACAAAAAAGCAGATCTCGTCTCACCCATTCATCTGTGAATTGCCACTTCTCTGTATATTTTTCTTTTAACATTACTTCCATCATGCTCTTCAATGTCCTTGTATCTACTGCCTCCACGAGCTGCCAGACTCTCTTTGCACAGATTTTTCCACCAGCTATTTGCCAACATAGATCTTTACATTAGGCAAGGGGCGGAAGATCATTTTGAACAACTGCATTGTTTGTGTAACCGTCTGACTAAGGTAGCCTCTTCTTACTATTATTCCCTGATAATATATCAAACAAAACTTCCAGATCTTGCAGTTTATATTCACAAAGAGTTAGTGCATCCTTGACAACCCTTTTAAAACCTGCTGCATCCTTAAAGGCCTTTTAGCGATCAATGGCTAGAAAGCTTTTAATGCAAAGCAGCAGCAGGATGTGCAGCTCTTGCATTTGGCGTTATAAGTATCTGAATAACAGCTCCAATAACATGGAAAATGAGAGTGCACAAGTCATGCCGCCCGACTGTTGACGGGTATATATATGTTTTCATATTCAATATGATCTTTTAACAACTTTCAACCCAAAACTCTGTATAAGTTGGTGTGTCTGCTTTGTGGAGCAAGTGCATGACAGTTAGAATTGAGTATCAATTGGATGACATGAAATGTTGCATACCTTTGTATCGTGGTACATATATCAACTAATATATATTCTTATTAATATCCTAAACATGTTATGCTGATCTCTGATTTACCAATATGTTCAGATGTTATGTTGCTATTTTCCAAACTGAAAGGGACTAAACATTTCATCGCATTGTTGTGACACTGAGGTGTTTTATATGCATGACGTTGACTATAAAACACATATATACACTTGTAGTACTCCATTTTTGGCTTAGATATAAGTCTAGTGACTGAGTTTCCCAGACTGTGTAAACAGCTTGTAACTCCCAATCTCCTTAAAGATGTAAGCCACAGGCTTCCCACAGCAACATTGTGCAGATCCACAACACATACTGGAAGAATCATGCCCTTAACTCTCAAGTTATCCTTACAAACAGTAGTTTACTATCACTTAAACTCCTCTGTTTGCATTTCCAAAGCCCAGTGTGGGAACATGCAACGTTCTGGGTCATGGGAAGAGCCACACAAATAAAACGAGTGGCACAGCAGGACAAGTTCAATCTTAACTAATGCTCCATATGGTTAATCTGATCAGAGCTGCTCAGGGTTTGGCAACAACAGAGTGAAAACATCTCTAGCTTGATCAAGGGTACACATTTTGAACAATTCAAACCTTAACAGAATATGCATTCATGTCTCGAGGAAAACTTTAAATATTACCACGAATAAAAAAGATGTATGGTAATTAAACTGTGTTATGCATCAAGTTGCTCTGCATATATTCAATAAAACCTTAATCTGAAACCACTGAACAGCTTAATTTAATAAGACTAACAACACCTAAAGCAGACTTAATAATTTAGCTGCACCCAGCTGACTAATATGCCAAAAAGTCCACCAAGCAGTAACTTGAAAAACAATGAATGGATGCTGGAAATGATTGAGAACTGAAATAACTTGTTTTAAATGTAAAATTATTTTTGTTTTATGAACTATCAAATGAGCTATCAGACCTTTCTTGGTTGTGGTGAAGTACTTGGAGTCCGTCATCTTGGATCCAAATTGTCGATTCTCCTGCAAAAGATAGATAGGGTGAGAAAAACGACTGTGAAATATTTCCTCAGTGGAAACTTGGAGCATCCCAAGAGCAACAGGAAACACCAGAAGTGCAGACACAGGGAAATAAAAGGAATTCCTGTCTTCTCCTGAACAAATGTCAGTGATCTATCCGAAGAAAACAATGGTTTTTGCTGAGAGAACTGGCACCATGTCTTGTTTTAACCTGAATCTTGTTGGTCAGCATCTATGTGGCTTCTGCATTAACTATATAGTACATTTCCTGTTGGTCATGTCAACTATTGGTGGAGCACCTCTCTGCGAAGGATATTCTCCTATTTATGCAACAATACTTCATGCTCTAAAATATGAGCAATGGTGCTCAAAAGTCAAAAGAAAACAACTGATTTCCTGAAAAACATTGAACATGACATTTTTATCTTTTGATCTGTGTATACCTTTAAGAAACACATGACTTGTGTATATAGCATAGACTGTATATATAGGTAAATAGTCATCACATTTTAGTTTTGCCGCACATATACATGGATTGTTTTCTGGTTACAATGTTAATGACTATACTGTGATATCTGACAACTGACATGCAACACATCCTTTTTTTTCTACAAAAGGCCATCATGTATAACATTAAATCATGATTAGGACACATTATTACCACTGTAAATATTGATGTTGTCCCTAGCAGTTGCCTACACTGAATGAAACAGATGGCATCTCATTACACATTATTATACATAATAATTGCATTAGCCTTTCATTAACATGACTGACTTCCTATTACGCAACGTTATCCTGATAATGTTAATTTAATGGAACTTGCAGTGGCAGTGATGCTAACAGAGAGTGATGTTGACAGCAAGTCTAAATGAATGGCAAAGGCCTAACAGTTATCGTGTTTTCTAATGACAACGACCTGCGTTTAATTAAAAACACGTACAAGTTGTATAATTCATTGAGCTTCACAAACATAAGACAGTCTGTTAGCCACAAGCTAACCAATAATATGCAACTGACGACGAAGCTAGTCAACAAGACGATTATTCCGGTACATTTGTACGATAACTCACGCTGTCATAAGGACACCTCAATAAAAGGACACCCTTAAATAGTTTGCAGAGATACAATACGATTGCTTTACATTTGCTAAATCTGAGTTATTCCTGCTAACTTAGCCAAAAAAGTAGAGGAAAGGTTCGCTAGCTGAATAGCATCAGGCTACCATGACGTTAGCATAGCAGACTCGAGTGTTTCAGATGAAAGAAAGCTAAAACAAGTTATTTAAATGAGTGCAAACAGGTCTGCAATTTCCCGGTGCTATTCGATAAATTACTTACGCATAACTGATTCGCCCATTCCTGCATGTTTGCAGTAGTTATCTGAGTTAACCTGGTGCTAAATGCTAGCTGTGTGCTGCAGTGAGCCTGTCAGTGTCAGCTAGCGCCTGACCACTTCTCTGAGAAAATGACCTTCTGAGGACTGGCTTAAGGAAGCCTTTGCCGGGATAGTTAAGCTCTTAATCTACCCGCCTGGCTCAAACCTTACCAAAGGAATTAGCGTACCTTCTGGAGTTAAAATTAGAGTGGCTTCGGGATGAATTTGAAGAGGAAATCTCCACAAACACCTTACCGTGACAGGCGTCGTAGGGATGGCTGTGATGGCCTTCGTCCCTCCCACTTGATTTACTTCCGTCTTCTTTACACAAAATAAACCTTAGCAAACAGAGAGGCAACGTCAGCGTTCATTCAGAGAAGCTCTCTCAATAATATATGTTCAACAACTCGATCAATAATATATGTTCAGCTCTTTACAATCAATATCTTCATAATAACATCTTAAAATCAAGAGCTGGAAGAAAGTACTTCAGTAAAAGTAGAAGTACGAGAGAGTAGGAATACTCTGTTACAAGTAAAGTCCTGCATTCAAAATGTTACTCAAGTAAAAGTACAAAAGTATCAGCATCAACATATTTAAACTACTAAAAGTAAAAGTAATCACTATGCAGATTGGCCCATTTCAGAATCATATATCATATGTTTCGATCATAATGATTGATGTATTAAAGTGTTTTCGAAGCTATTATCAAAGGTTCTGCTAGTTTGAATTACTTTGTTGATACAGCATGAACGCTTGTGAATTTACTCCAGGTGTAACTAAAGTCTTATTTAAGTGTTGATACATTTTTCACATTATTAATCCAAATATCCATTCTAACTAAAGGTATTAAATAAATGTAGTGGAGTTAAAGTAGTCAATGTAACTCTGAATTGTATTTGAGTAAAGTACAAAATAGCAAAAAATGTAAATACTCAAGCAAAGTACAAGTACCTCAAATTTGTACTTTAAAAAAGTACTTAAGTACATGTATTTAGTTACTTTACAACACTGCAGAGCGGGGGGAAATCTGTCGTACAGTTATAAAGATAGAAGTAATCAAATATCAGTAAGCTTGACAAATGGGATGATTAAACACAGCTTCTTATATCTTATGCAACAGAGAATTTTCCCAAGTAAAAATAAATGATTGAATCACATTGTACATTATGAATAATATAGTCATCATCCACGTTCAGATTAGTGGCTTTTCTTTAACAGACACTTCATGACTATCCCCATAATCCCATCCCTGTCGGTTTGACACCCCGCTGTGACCGAAGCTTGACATGAAAAATGGATCAGAGAAATGTCATGAACTTCAGAGGAAAAGTTTTATTACAAGAACAACATGACAGCATTTTTTTTACTTCAAAAAAACTGTGAAATGTTGCAGTATTGCTATTTCATACATACAAATTCCACAATACCAAGCAATCTGTACATTTAACTGAAGTTGTAGTGAAAGTAACATTAGCAAAGAAGAAATTATCAAATCATGAACATTCAGATTTCGCTGATTAGGGATTGAGAGAAGCAGAGAGAGATTCAGGAAGTTGTGCATGGACAAAGAGCTGATAATGTACAATCACTCTTTTTATAATTGACAACCACATTTTGAATTTGACCAATTACTCTAAACACAAATGTTTTAAAATAAGCCAAAACATATTTAAATTAAAAACAATTCAAATAAAACATCTGTTTGTACGGAAGAGACCCATAACCAGTCCGTAATCATATGTGGCTTTCTTTAATCATAAATTATGAGGAGTCTGCATTAAATCTAATAACTGTTTCTGAATTATGCAAAGCAACCCACAGATGATTTGTCTGTTTCATACCATAGCTTGCAATAGTTCTAATGTTTCTACGGTATACTGTTGGGAAAAAATACTTAAATTGCTGAGTTTTTTATCAGTTGGCTCCACCTTATTAAGATTAAACTTCCTGCTCATTATCATATTTGGGACACAGATGTAACTTGAGAGACTTAATTTCATAAATAAATAAATTAGACCTACATTACTTCCCTCTTCACTCCAACTCTCAACATATTCTCATACTGTATGTACACACATATGCACCTTCTCATTGCTTTCGAGCCTATTTACTGTGTCAGTGCCCTGCAAAAAGATGGTTTCCACAAATGTTGCAGCTTTCTTTTTTTTTTACTGGTTCTTTCTATTAAATCTCTCAGGGAGATATCTATCATCGTAAACACAAGAAAGACAAATGATCACCAACTTTTCTTAATTGACAACAAGTCAAACGTTTCCACTTTCAAATATATTTTTACAAAGTCCACACCTGTTATTACCAAAAAACAGAAGTACTGTCGCAGGGCTCTGACCTCTCATCCTCTTGTGCATGAGCTCCACAAGAGATCCGTCATATCCAGTTACAGTATCTATTATTCATGCACTGTTGCACACATTTAGACACTCAAGTCAAAGTCATTCCTCATCCATCAAATTTCCCCTTATTAGCATTGATATTGGCTCTTATTAACAAACATATACCATTCCAAAATCATTAAAACAGTACATAATTTTACTGTGAATAAAACATATTGTTCCTTAGCCACTAGATGTCACCATAGATTGAGCTGAGTCTTTCAAATCCATCTTCTAAGTAGGTTATCTGGCTTCTTGTGTCTCAATTATACCAACATGATTCAGGGCAATACATTATATATCTTTGTCAGGAATTGTACACCTAGACTACGAATAATGTACAATTAAAATGGGCAATGTTCCTCACTTATTTCCACATTCACACCTAAACTCTCCAATTTCTATAATCATAAAGAAATAATGATGGCAATGTTGTGTTACCGAATAGATCTTAGTGATGTTGCGCAAAAACATTCAAAAACTAACCTGTGAATACATTTTAAGGCAAAGGGAATTGTCAAGGCATTTCCAACACCAATATTGCATAGCTAAGGCAGCACAGAACTGATTACAGAGAATATGTACATTAAACTGTATATTCAATGCCTTGTTATATACAAAATACCCACATCTATCAGTGAGCACATCGACATGTATTTACACATTCATTCTCCTCAGCCGTTGACGTTTGTATATATGTAGCATTGTATTCCAGAGTACAGTTTGGTCAGAGGAAGAAATCCCAACATTTCTGCTTCAGTGACAAAGACACAACCTTCACTGCTCCTCATATTTTTACACTTAATCCACTTAAAAGTTGGAATCAATTTAAAATGTTTTACTGCATTAAACATAATCTTTAAAACCTGTGACACCTTAACAACAACAAAATCTATCACAGCTACAAAAACTGATGCGAAAATGTGACATACCACATGAATAACGGCAGACGACTATACAGGGTTTGGTTGAGCAAGTAGTGTTCATACAGTCAGAGGGATGATGGGGGTACCTATGTGTATGTTAACGGTTATTATATTGTAAATGTGAGTATACTGAGTCAAATGTTAAGAGACTGAAAAAGATCACAGTCATCATACCAGTATTCTGACTACCAAGGCAAGCAGAGATGCTGTGGCAAACCACAAGAGGGAGCCATCCCATCTGTCTGAAGGTTTAGTGTTTACACTGTTTAGAGTTGCTGCTTTAAATCCCTGGCACTTCGCCATGCCCCTCAGCGGGGCACATGGCAGCACATATGCTCTCTCTCAATCTCTCTGTTTCAACCATGAGACTTTCACAAGTGTCTTTGCAAAAATAAAAAAATAAACACCTTATGATTGGCAAAAGCATCCCCATGCACACATTAAAATGACAGTGAAAGTAATCTTAAAGACCATTCCTTTGGTAATAAATAATTTGGCTTGAGTGCAACATAAAAGCAATGTGAACCCCCTGCAGTTATTCAGGGGGGGAACTAAGTGAGAAAGAAGGAGTGTTAGACATGCAGTAAAAACAGTCTATGGCCCAATCTTAAGTTTTTACACAGTAGTCAGAGTTCATGACACCCCCTGTGTCACCTGTGCTACATCCAAGCTTCAGTGTCCAGGCTCCCTGACTGTCCAGGGAAGGAGCAGTCTTTGTTAACCATGGCTGGGGAACATGGCCGGGAATGGATCATGTCTGCGAAGGCCTGGTGGAGGCCCTTGCATGTGGCCGGGCGACCAGTAGAGCGTGAGCTCTGAGGGGACAGCGGAGGAGTGTGGCTTGGGGAAAACGTTTCGTGAGTCTGCAGATCTCTGAAGCTGCGCGGTGTGGGGATCCGTGAGGGGCTGTTTTCTGGCCTGTTGTCAGTGCGAGGCTGCATCCTGCCTCTCAGTTTGTGCTTTGAGTTAGAGGCCATTCCGTCTGTCTTCTTTTGCCCTTTATTAGTCTGCAGCCCTTCTGCATCAGTGTTCCCGTTGGCAATAGGTGAAGATGGTGGGGGGGTTTCAGACTGGGATTCACTCAGGCTGAAGCACATGGATGAGTTTTCACTGGAGGAATCCTGGAAAGAGCAGTCCCCAGAGGGGGGGAGGAGCACAGGTGACGGACAAGCCTCTGGGGGCGGGAGGTCGTCATTGCCGTCACCATGTTCTAGGTCATAGGGTAAGTTTGGCTGGTGATTCTCTGGAGGAATATCTCCTTCAGGCCCTGTGCCCCAGCCAAGCTGACCCTGCTGACATTTCAGCCCCCCTGTAGGAGGAAAGCCTCCATGGTCTCCATTAATATTACTACAGTGGAAAGCAGGTTGTGAGGGGACCTGGTTCATCAGTGTGTCTCTGTCTCCAAGACCAGGCAGTGAAGACGGAGGTTCCCTCTCCTCGATGGAGCTAGAGATGGCTGGGAGCTTCTTGAGACCCCCTCCCCGCTCCCCCCAGTGCTCAGGCTCTCCTTGACCACCGTTGTGAGGTACTCCAAAATTGTTTCCATAAAGTACGTTTAAGGGGTCCTCCAGTTGGAAGTGACGGGGATGAGCTCTCTTGGATTCCCTAAGGTCAGGCAGTGTTCCTATCTTTGCCCCCACATTCAGGGAGGAGGTGGAGGAGTTAGAAGAGGAGTAGGCCGAGTCAGTGACGTTAGGATCAGTGGTTGCCGGCACTACATGTGTCCCGGCACCCTGAAGGTTCGCTCCTCCTGGGGCTCTACAAGACCCTCCTCTAGCCTGTTGTGTATTGGCCAGAAACTCAGCCTCAAAGCTGCGATACAGGTCCTGCTCCTTTTGGGGGTCTAGTGTTGGAAGCATCTGGAAGCCGAGCCCCGGTCCTTCCTCCTCGGGGTCCGGGCGCTCCAGGCATGACAAGCTCTTATGGTGGCCTCGACCAGCAGAACGAAGTCCCTGTGACGTCC